GCAAGACCTAGTACTGGATATCAGACTATACATTTGTCATGGTCCCTTTTGACTTTGGCATCCATGAAACATCTGTCCAGTAGGAATTGGAGTTAACTTGGTTCAGGTCATTTTCCGGTCTTCAGATTGTAACAGCTTTTTTCCATGACTGACCTTGGGCTGGATTCAAACTAGCAGTCAGAATCTGGGGAAGCGTTCCGAATGAGTCAGAAATAAAGTCATGATATGTGCATAAAGAGAGTGTGTTTCCTCTAGATACATAGTTTAAGTCTGTTTTTCACTGGTGCATCCACAAAACTCTCAGTGATGTTAATTAAAAGCAGGAATATAGTTTTATGGAAGGAATGGAAGCCATTACATACCGTATCCTCCTTTTGCAGTAGTGGGATGGATGACTAGGTGATGGATATTAGATAATATACACCCATTCAAGTAGTGACTGCTACTTAATAGATGGGATTTTAATGAGGCTTTTGACAGGGTTGATGTGTCCTTCATGAGGCTGTTTCTCAGGCTTCCTTAGCTCCTTCATTTTTATCTGTATCATGCCCCTTGAATCTGTATTCAAATATGATATACTACAAACCCTTGCTTAATGTTTCAGGCATATCATTCAGCGTGCTCTTAACTGTATACACAGCTGTATAGCTGTATATACATTGCCACTGTTCCTGAACCTAAAATATTTGCCCAAGCTTATCTGATCATATGAATTCTTTCTTTGATGAGAAGGATTTATCAAAGTATATCTAAAAAGAACTGAATTAAGATTTGCATTGTGCATGGGTCCAAATGGAATGATTTAGGTTTTATTTCAGATTTTTAGCAATGCAAAGCTTAGTAGCATTTAGGGGTGAGGCTTTTGGATTGACCCACTGTGAAAGTACGAAAAGGTAGGTAGGATGGAGAGATAGAAAGAATGATTGTCCCTAATGAGATGTTCTACAGATCAAAACTGTCATGTTATTTACAAGTCATACCCGGATTAGAATCTATTTAACAAAAATCAAAACTACAAAGATGAAAGAAGGGCAAAGCAGCTGGAGAGCGTTCATGTGTAAGTGCTGTGGTTAGGTTTCAGAGGTTCTTAGACTTTCGTATGTTAAGGCCTGGTGGGACCAAGCTGAGCAGGTGGCCTGACTGTGCATAACCCAGACTGTAAAATTTGACAGCACACCACAGGATTATGCAAAGCTTTCATGTGTTTGGGTCACAGTCTTTGATTTACTCATTTCCATTAAGTGAGCAGTAAAAAAAAGTGTGCAGTTAGACCAAGATACTCTAGAAGAATAAAAATCAGCAATGGAAAATACCACTGGACTCATCTGGTCTATCTGGTTTATAGACTGCTTTCAGCACAGATTACCTCCTTATGTAGGTTCATTTGGTCTCTTGAGAGAAGTAAGAAATTTCAAAATGAAAGAGTGACCATCTGTTCTGTGTGTGTTTTCACCTTCCTCTGGCGCTATGTATACCGGTCAGTGTTGGAGGCCAGTACCAGTCTCCACGATATGGCATGGTAAATTCTCTAACATGGTTTATCTTCAAATAAGATCAGTTTAAATTACTGCCATGTTTTCTTTTCATATGATCTTCTTTTCAAACAGTGTAAAGTCCAGTTAGGACTTAAATCCTGATGCTGCTCTGATTTGCTTCTACTGTTATATACAGGGTGTGCTACATGTTCCTTAATGCACCGCAGTTACTGTACATTAAGTTTAGTACTTGGATAACCAAGTACTAAATCAATGTGCAGTAATTTGTGCTTCTGTACAGTAGCACCAGTGCACAAGTTTTTAGAGACGCTTACTGCGCAGTAGCCTAATATTACTGTACAGTACTGTATTAGCACGGTTTTTGCCTGGCACGCTACTGCACAGTGTTATTAGGCTACTGTGCAGTTAGCATCTCGTGTAGATGTTCCCACTGTGAAGCTGTAGCCTAATGTCAGTCAGCATGTCATGGTCATTATCAAATGCCCTTGTTTTGTGTCACAGACCAAACATGAATTTGGCTGTGATCCTGTATGAATCATTGGTGGGGGACAATGTGTCTTTTGCAGTGGAAGTGTGAGTTACAACAGTCTTGCTGAAAAAATCTCGGTTGATAAAATGTTTGGGGAACAAATGGCTCTTGGTTTCTGTGTAGCGCAGTTCAAGGTTTGAACTATATTCATTACGGAGGGCAATCACAAGAAGCTGGATTTCCCAAAGCAGCCTTTGATCTAAGAGGCAAAGGAGGAAGAAAGTTTAGTAAGACATGAACAGATGGTATTCACACACCAATGCCCCCATGAAAACAAGACAGTGCTTAAGTAGTCTGCAGTGCAGACTAAGGGATGTTAACTAAGAACCTCATCTATGGCATTGTAGCCAACCCTTTTCGTTCTCCTGTGACAGGTTTGGCTGGAACCTCCATCTGGGAAAAGAAACAGTAAAGGATGTCCTCAAGGTGTTGAACTTGGGCACATAGGGAGCCCAAGAAGTCTTCTGTGGTACCATAAATGACACCATTTTACACTTGGTGTAAATTTGCTGAATCAGACCTTGATTTTTGGGTGAAGCCCAAGAAGACAGCCACTATTTTCTCCAGGGATATTTAGGATTTTGTTTTGTTGCTAATCTCTAGTGTTAATGAGACACCTCAGAAAAGATTTCCAAAGAACTATAGGGAATTTGACACCTAATCCCCTTAGGACAAATCTCAGTGCAAGTACGCAAAAAGACTTAACCTGTCTGCACCAGACAGATATTATGATAGCTGCAGTACGGGCATCCATTTGGTCTGCTTTGTAAAGCAAAGTCGTTTCCTTCTGATTTCCTGTAAGATTTCAAACAAAATGCAAGAGGGATGGTTATTGTAAAGGGGAGAGTCCTTTGGTTTTCTACAAGCATGAAAGGTCGATGTGACACCTTCCCAGGTGAGATTGCTCAGGTGTTTTCACAATCTGGTAAAGCACTGCACACATTATACTAAATACAAGCCATTAGTTGTATCCTGATGATGACATGATAATACTGGCTTGCAAGAAAGAGTTTGAATCCTTTGAAGTGGAAGCAAAATCCAGTTTTATTTGTGTCTAAAACCTCACTGTGTGAACTCTCAGAGAACGGGGATGATCACTATGGAGAAAGTTGTCTTCTACAGTAATTAATAAAATGCTAGCCTCACAGCTGGCAGTCTCAGCAGAGAATTCAGGGATTGAGCATGGAGAGAAAGCTAAGCCAGTTTTCACCAATTCCTATGTGTCCCCACCACAGCAGTCAACACTAATTGGCTTTCCTCCTGTTAGTCTCAACAGAGAGGCCACTGACTAAGTGGCAGCATGGAGTACAACTTCTCCTCTGGGGCCCTGGAGGCTATCGCGGTGGCACAATGGTGGAGCCACAGTGGGGAGAACTTGCCCTACTGCTTCCTCCACTGCCTGCGCTCAGTGGGGGAACAGAGGCTGTCAGTGTCCAGCGCTGTCAACCTGGCACTTTTCTGCAGTGTGAAACTCACTTTATAAATAAAATATTTTGAAAGTGACTTTTTGTAAAGAAAAAAAGTCGTCTGACCCCAATGCAGAAGTTTGGTATTGTTTCTTTTAATGTGCGGAACAATTTCGAATGCAGCCTGCTCCCCGGTTAGTGGTGTAACAGGAAAAAACTGGCATGAATGAGTAATCAAGTGTCTTGCTCCCTGTCAGTTTGAATCCATCATGGACATCCTCGCTGGGCTGTATTGTTCCATTTAGAAAGGGCTTTCTGCAAAGCAGGTCAGGCACATGGTCTTCTCCTGTCCAAGCACTAATTGACTGGAAATGAGTGGATGAACAATGCAAATTAACTCTGTAATTTCAGGCCCTCTACTTCCGTGGTGCTTGATCATTTGGGGACCATGCTAATTAAACCTGATGCATTATTAGAAATCCATCAGCAGCCTTCATTTGGTGCCTCAAATCAGCCATCTAATGAGGTTTAAGTGCCTTTTAAGTAGTTATCAGTAGCTGCTGTAAGGAATGGGTCTCTGGTTTGGCACGGACTGTTCTTAGTTAATGGCTACATGGTCTAGTGCCAGATGGGGTCATGAACACGCCCTAGCAGGACCCTATGATTTTGAAATTAGTGTTCGGTTTCTTGTCCTGAAATGCGCTTATGACTGCTGTTCACCCCGATTTCCAAGACGATGGGAGGTTGGGTTAGTTTGTCTCTTCATATGCTGCCCATCTAGAAATCCCGTTGTCATTTCAGGTGACAAACACATTGATGTCTAGGCTGATCACAAGCGCTCAGTCTATATGCTTCATTCTAGTTACTGCTACGAGAATCACCTGCATATACTTCCTGGAGGCAGCTGGGGAAGCGTGGCTCAGTACTCTACCACTCTTCAGAGGCCAAAGAGAGAATGAAATGGTCGTTAGGTTTTCCTTCTTTTCACTATATTTCATGTTCCATAAAGCCGTGTAGTGTAGGTCGGAGTCTCCTGGCTTTGCAGAGACCAGGTATACTTAGTGTTGGGTGACAGCGAAGTTTGAAGCTTTTGGTGGTGTCGCCTTCTGCTGTGCCATTAGCATAACAATTACCTAAAGCACAAGGACCCTCTGAGCTCAGGCTCCTATGTCAGGTATTTGTTTCATAACCATCAAACTCTATAGATACTTAATGATATGGATGGTTTCATATTTGACCTCAGTGGAAGCAAGTCCTCAGTGGGAGAGGTGGTGTGAAAAGGCTTGGGTGACAGTTTCCTGCCTAATATGCCATTAAAGAGAGATGTGTCAAAATCCCAAGAAAGTCCTTGCTTTCACAGGCGAACAGAGTACAACATAATCAATGCAACTACTGTGAGTGACAAAGAGCCATCTTTGCATGTCTCCCGCTGTCCATTATCAACCAGAGGAATGATTTGCCTAGAAATTCTTTCCTTTTTCACAACAGTCTCTGTTCAGGGAAAAAACTAGAACAAAATTAAATTGTAGATCAGATGATTAATGTATGAATATCTGCTGTTTCTTGCAGTCACTTTTGACCATTTTGAAATTTTGCGAGCCATTGGGAAAGGCAGCTTCGGAAAGGTAAGCTTCTTGAATACAGAAGTAGTGTTTGCATGCCTGACAAAGCCTGTAGCAGTTCAAGGAATACACACATCAAAAAGGCTTACTTGTGAGAGCTCACTGCAGATATATGGACTATTGCTCTGTCTGACCTGAACTTCAACTCCTAATAATGCAGGAAGAGAGTAAGGCTGACTTCTTGACTATTCAGAATCCCCAAACTATATTACAGGATATTAAGCTTTAGTTACTGATGAACCAAATCAGCTGAATGGGTGTATATCCTCAGAAGACAGATTACCATGACGTAAACTTGAATGTGGTGATGTCTCCTTGATAAAGAATTGTGATTCTCCAAGAGCAGTACTGCAGTGTGTGGTGAACATTGAGCAGAGGTGTGTTTGAAATGCCACGCTTTTAATTTAAACACTGTATTAGCTTCGTTGTCCTCTCCCCCTTCTCCTTTCCCGTTACAGTGATTTCTGTAAGGAAACCCATGTCTGGAATGGCCAGAAGTTATGATATTGGTGGGTTACTTGGTCCGCACAAGAAAGGGTCTGTCAATCTCTATAGAGAGATCATGCCTGACAAGCAGAGAGAGCTGAAATTTTCCAGGAATTACATTAAAATGCAGTGTCAGGTTGGCCCAAATTTTCTGCTAAATTCTGCAAATAGTTTCAGCCAAAAATCAAAGAAGTTTGTGTATTACATTTTAAAAACTTCTTAATTTTTTTGTTTGGAAAGACACTTTGTTTGAAGTCAGTCTACATCTAATTTTTTCAGTTATTTACACATCTCACAAACCCACCTTCTCTGAGGGGCAATGGCATGTGACACAAGGACAATGGATGATTTGGGGATTTTTTGAGACTCCCTGACCTCCCAGCTTTGTCCCCAGTTAGAATAATAACAATTATTCTTCTATAATGTAATGTGGAAGATCAAATCTTAATTGTGCGGAGCTGGGACTTAGCAGCATGAATCTCATTATAGCAAACAGTAGGGTGCTTCTATGACCACATTTTACCTGTACAAATGTGCTACATTGTTTTCTCCTACCAAGTCCACCCCGTCTTTGTGTCTCGGTTTGCTTCTGCATAGGTCTGCATTGTGCAGAAGAATGACACCAAGAAAATGTATGCCATGAAATACATGAACAAACAGAAGTGTGTGGAGCGTAATGAAGTGCGAAATGTGTTTAAAGAGCTGCAGATTATGCAGGGCCTGGAGCATCCCTTCCTGGTTAATTTATGGTAAGCCATTTCACTTGTTATTTTCCCACTTTTGGTTTCCTAAGCATCCTTTGCAGAAGTGCTGAGCCCCTACGTTACCATTGACTGCACTTGGAGAGGTGGTAGTTCAGTAGTTCTGAAAACCTCAGGGTTCTGCTTTTTTAATATAAATCCTTGTATATAAAAATGTTTATTTTTGCTTACTTTTGCTTATTTTTCTTTCCCTTGCAGCTCTTTTTTGCTTTTAACCCAGTTTTAACACAGATTCTTGATAAAAGCAACAGTTTTCAGTACGATGTGGAAATACAGTTGGATTCAAACTGTGCTCACATAATGGGACCCCGCCCCTGTCACAACCTACTTCTTTTATAGCTGAGTGGATGCCCACTGACTTTACACAGTGAGAATCGACTCCATTTATCTTTATTCCTTTCACTATAGAGGCTGCCGGGCAGAAATGCATATGTAACAGAAGTTGCCCTTGGCCTTCTTTTCCTCAGGAACATTTACCTTTAGTGCCAATGGCTTTGGCAAACACCAAATAGGTTAGATTAACTCTGGCCTCCTGGTTGTATCAAATAGTCTACATCAGCAAACTCACTGCAGCTTTGTCATTTAAAATGCACAAGTTGACAAGCATGTGAAGCCTCTGTCTGCAAGGTGTGAAGTGCCCACAATTCCTTGTGCCAAGACTGGCCCTTTTGAACTGCTTAAACAGGTGCAGATCCCAGAATGGAGACATGGTATTGCCTTTTAACACAGCACACGTTGATTTTCTGAGCTATAGCAATTAATAACCTTGGTGAAAATAATTGGATTTTGTTCAAACTGGATCCATCTTGGCAGGAGGTGTCCAGAAATTTAATATTGAAGAGAGCGGGTGGAAGCATGCATCACCCAGTAAATACTTCAGGAGACCAGTCTTCATTTTAATCAATGTTGGTTTCCTCTCCCTTTGTTCTCTGCCACTTTCCAGTTCTGATTGTCTGGTTAATTTTGTGCTATGAGAGGCCAGCTTTAAAACCTTATTGATATTTTCCAAACTAATGCTAATCAGCAAAGATAAAAGGAATTTTGTCATGGAGTTAGTGATGAGGTTGAGGGGAGGGGTGAACCTTGTCATCCAGATTTTATTGCAAAACCCCAGATATCTCTTTGGGAAATGTGTATGTAAAATTATCTCTTCTCTTAAGAGGACCTGATACATGCAGCCTACACAAGCTGTTTTCAGTAGTTTTCCAGCCATCAGCATCAGGATTGATCAGCACAATGATAAAAGGCATGCTAACCTCTCCATCTTCATTTGGGCCAGCACGTTTTCCTGCAATGGAACAGGAGAAGGAAGCTTCAAATAATACTCTGCTAAATCCAGACAGTAATTTTATTAGGACATCAGTAATGTTTAAAGTGGCATGTGACTTCTCTTTAATTACATGGCAGCTTAGTAGGGTCCAAGGTAAATAAGATCTAATTATGAGATCCCTGCAGGATACCAGGTAATTAGGTTTATTAGATGCAAAGATAATTTTAGAACAGGGCAAACTTTTCAAACCAAAGCACAGAACCATAGGAATACTACTGAATTAAATCCTCAAAACTCCACTGTGGATCACAGGTTGTTGAATGATGCTGGGTCCTTGATGGTTTTTTATTGAAATCCTCTATGTGGACTGAATGCTTATTTTGACTGCATATCCATGTTACATTTTATATTCATTTTAATTAAAGGTTAGGCCACAGCCAGACCCCTGGATCCTGCCACCCCAAGCTTTGGGAGTGGTTCCAGAAAGCAAAACTTGGAACTATCTCAAGTTTCAACAGAAAACTCAAAGCAAATTTCACAGTATGATTCTGTCCAGCTCATAACCAAAGATATGTGCATAGGCAATGGCATGTCTTACTGTATCTTATTGTTACATCACCCACAACTCTCCCATATGGTCTTTAGCTTCCCATCCCGAAAATGAGAGAGTTAATCTTTGCTCTTGACTTATTGACAATGCTGTTTAGTAGATTTTTTTCTTCTCGTTGGTTTGTTTTGGTAATATATGTTATCCCATCAACAGGATGAGTTGCCAACATGAAAAGCCATTAAAAAGATGCAGCCCATAGGTGATCAATAGAGCTGTCTTGTAGGGATACTTAGGAAGCTGTTTACAAGATAAATGAAGACACTCCATGGGGCTTTTAAAAGTGGAGTGGTGAATAATATATGCATCCCCAAACTATCTGGGCAACTGGCACAGCACTAGTAAAAAGCTGCTGGCAATCTGTACAAGAATATGAATTATAATTCCTGCACAATACTGGCTTCTAGCTGTTTTTCTCCATTTCTGATTGCAGCTGCAGTCACTTTTTGGGATTTCCCTCTGCGTCATCTCTCTACACTCTCTTCCCACTCCTGATAGGCTTCCTTGGACCTATCTGGGGCTCCAGAAAGAGAGAAGTCATGTTAATCCATCATGAATAGCAGAGTGAAATCTGTCCAGACACTCTTCCCATGTCCTAGTGGTCTCAGCTCTAGTCTTCAGAGCAATGTTTCTACTACACATTTGGAAATACTCCTGTTCTTGATGCTGGTGGCTGCTACAGTGAAACAAGGATGTATATAACTAACCCCATTTTAGTCAAAAACAGGTTTTGAACATGGGCCATGGGTTTTATAGAGCTAAAAACTTTACCTCAAGAGGTAAAGAGCATAAGCCTTGTCATTCAAAGCAGTCGCACAGTGTGCCAGTTAGTAGAAGAAGATAACCCTAATGAGAAAAATGTTTGTGTAGTAACACACACACACACACACACACACACGATGTGTACCTTCTTCAGAATGGTAGACAGGAGTTCTTGGGCATTTCAGGTGTTGGGACTGTTTCAGGGAAAAGCCCTGTACTCCTGAAGATACCACACATATTACAGTGCATTGTATCTTCCTTTTACCTCTCACATTTTTGTCGTCCACTTAACCCAACTGTTGCAGGATTTGCTTACCTTACATTACATACTGAAATGTAAATACTTCTTCTGATCCACCTAATAGCTAAACCCTCTAAGCTGATGCTCGTTGTCAGAGGTGACATATTAAAGGTATGTTCTTGAGAAAATCCTCAAACTTTTGGTGAAAATTTACCTAATGTGGAGACATATATGAAGTGTCTGACTGTCTAAGCACTATAAACTAAGGGAGTTAGACCACTGAAACCCCAAATACTCCAGCTCAGCGGTTCCCAACCTTGGGGTTGTAACCCCATTTGGGATCATAGCAATAAAAAACGGGGTTGAAAGATGCTTGACAGTGTCAACTGATTATGATAAATATTTTTCCTGTTTATAAATATGCAACTCTTGTGCATGACATTATTCATCCACACAAGACAGTTGCAGCTCCGATGCAAGGTGCCTGTACATTACAGGAAGTGTCGTAAATTCAGTATGTTAATACCGACTGGCTGAAATATGTTTTACATGACTGATAAATCTAACATGGATGATTTTCTCCAGCAAGTTTCTGCTTTGAGCTCTAGCAGTAACATTAATGACAAGGAAGAGAACGAGAAATGAAAGGAGTGCAAGACACAGAAGTGGAAATTTGGTGACTCCTTCCTTATTGACAGTATCTGCAACATTTTGGGGTTGCAAAAAATGTCTAATGTTTAAAGGCGGTCATGCTGAGGAAAAGGCTGAGAAGCCCTGAAAAGGTGGCTCATCCCTCTCTCTTTTTTAATGTAGATTTTCAGGCTCTGCTGTATTGTGGCAGTTGCTGGAAGCTGCCATACGAAATAGCGTTGTCTAGTAAAGGCTAGTAAAGGCTTGTTTGTCTCCCCCAAGAGGATTTTTAAGTTGTTCCTTAAAGTTGGTGATGTAAACTGTCTAGCTTGATAAGGGTTTAAACAACACTTCCTACTGGTTTGACTGCTGAAGTTAGCGCATTCTGCTTTCCTTTTAAGCAAAGGCATAACCTGATTTAGCATCATATTGCTTATGCTGTTTCCCGTGGGAATCTCTTGGCAGAAGACCAAACATTTTTCATCTCTATATTGAAGGGCCTGCTGTGAGCACTGAACATTCAGAGTCTGGGGAGTATTGATTGTTCGAGTCCTCATTTTGATTTGCCATTTTGACTGAAGCTGATAGACTTGCCTACAGTTAAAGTAGTCTGACACTTCCTATTATATTCCTATTTTCAGTCAGTGTTCCTATGCTAGGTGGATACCAGAGGATAAAATCTTGAGAAAATTTTAGGGAAAATGTTCATTCATTTCTAAGAATGAGTTTTGGGAAAATTCATTATTTTATATAAACTAAATGTTCTTAGCTTATACAAACTCAGCTGTTTCTTTAAGAAGCTTTAGTGCATCCATTCTTTCAGCAAGGACTTGAAACTTGACACAAGGTTGGACTTTGCCAAATTCAGACAGATTTTCATGGAGTGGGATTGTTTTCCCACTTTCCTTATGGAAATCCATAACCTTTGAAATATCTTACCAAACCGAGACTTGCTTGAGTTTTGGCACCTAAATTCTCTGGAGATCTGATGTATATTTTAACATGTTCCAGCCTGGAGATGCAGGCGTTGAACAGGATTTTCTCACCAGTTGCTACTCCTGGTTAATGTGGGCTGCATTATGAAAAGTAGACAACTCTTTTAAAACCTGCCTGATGATGATGTAGGAGTCACATAAAGTCAATGTCTCTTGCATTTCTATTCCTACAGTGAGCTCACCAGCAATGGTTTGACAGATGCTGGTCGTAGAGTCTCTGCTGACTTCATTATTGATGCTGTTGCACAAACGAGAATAAATAAAGTCAAGCTGCTGGGAAGATACAAGTTTGGGAAGCATGGTTGGGACTAGGTTTTAGAGGCAGATAAGAATGGGAGGAAAAAGACAGGAAATCAGAATCTATCTAATGAGAAACTTAAATTGTTAAAGAAAAAAATATTCTATTATTGATCCCCTATAGCACCATGCAAATACTAGAGAAAATAATCTTGAAAATATGCAAAGCATGTGGGAGTTTCTTTTCTTTCTATAAGGGCAATAGTCTGATGACCTGACCCTAAATAGGACTATTACAGTTCATTCTGGCCACTTTTAAAATTAACATAATTTTATTCCAATGAAAAAGAAACTTTCTATTGCTTAATATGATCTTGCTCCCGAAATGTTGGAAATGTCTTTATATCTAGAAAAATTACCTTTAATGTTTCTTGTCTGTGAAGCACTAAACAAATATTTACTAGTTGCCTTCAAAATACCTTTGTGAAATAAGCAGGAAGGAAGAATATCAGAACAGTTGGTGTAGCTATTCCAGGCAAACTTTTTAGTGTAGATGAAACCTTAGAGTAGGGATGGCTTTGGTTTCCATGGTCAAGTATCCCACTCTTTAAAATGTGATGGTTATGAATCTTGGGGTGGGTGGGTCCTTAAGCTGGCAAGTTATCCATTGGAGTTTATAGAGACTGTAGGAAGTACACAGCAAACCATGAGGGTACCTCTTGTTTTTGTTCCAGTATTTATTCAGTACCACCTGCATCAGGTGAAATGCTGCAATCTTGGTCTCTTTGGGATTAGTTAATTGGATAAACAAACAGATGTGACTAGATCAATCCCATCATGACTTTGCCACAGAAATGTAAATATGAGTGTTTGATTTAGGCATAATTGCAAAGACTGGTATGCAGTGTGCCTTACTGATATTAAAGAAAACACTCCCCAAATTACAACATTGTCAAGGTCTCTTCATAGGTCTTTAAAATTTTTTTCTGTTCTTCTTTGTAGTAACTCCTTAGAAGCTTGAAACCAAAATCAATTTTTAGAGCTCTTTGTCAGAGGACTCTAAATATTCCTCTTTCTGTTTCTGCATAATATTGCTAAATTAGTTCCTTGCTGTATGGTTGCTTCTGAACACTGAATGACTGACAGAGTGGTGTTGTCTTTTGTTAATAACTGTGAACCAATTACTTTTTAAAAATAAGTATATGACGATTTCTAAGAAGATACACCAAACTTGAGCTTTTAAAAATATATATTACCTATCTCCTTCCAATGGTCTTATAATCAGTACATTTTTCCTGAATTTGATTAATCTTAACACTATGAACATTTTCGACCTTATCGAATGTAATTGCTGATCTGTTTTGAAAAACTGTGGACCCAGTGGCACGTGAAGCTGAGAGCTCTCAACTTGGAGTTGCTTTAGAAGTCCAAACTTTATAAGTGATGCTGACAAAATCCCGGGTAGATCTGGGACCGTGACAATTTTGGTCCTAAATGGATGCAGTTAAGCTTTGATAACACAACTTGAGGACAATATATTCTGTTCCTTATGTTGGTGCTCCTTGAACTGAGATTTGTCTTTAACATGTTGTTTGTACCCTTCCAGGTACTCATTCCAAGATGAGGAGGACATGTTCATGGTTGTGGACCTTCTTCTTGGAGGGGACCTACGCTATCATCTACAGCAAAATGTCCGATTTCAAGAAACCACTGTGAAACTCTTCATCTCTGAGCTAGTGTTGGCTTTAGATTATCTCCAAAGCAGATACATTATCCACAGGTCAGTCACAGATTTCAGAGCTGGATTGATATTGACTGTGGGCTATTGTGGGTGGCCCTGTGTTATCACTTGAGCTGGTCAGAGCCAAGGGAGGTGTTATATTTTAAACTATAGACACGATTAGAAGTCATTGTATTAATGAATGCTGGCATTGCAGCCACTTACTTTACTGAAACAAACAAGTTTTGACACATGCAAAGGTGTAATCCTTTCTTCCTCATGCATCATGGCCCCAAAACTAGTTGCTACATTCCAGTACATACATCTTGATGGCAAATGATGTAGGAAGCAGAAAGAACAGAGCTTGATTTTATGTGACAATTAAAAACCTTGTTTGGAGCTGAAAACAGATACATTGATGAAGAAATCACTGTTGGAGAATAGGTAAGATATGTTCAGGTAACAGTATCCATCACTTGTATGGGTGATTTCCTAAGGTAAGTATGTGTGTTCCCCCCTTTTAAAGATGGAGAATTTGAAGAACAGTGAGTAAACTACTTGCCTTAAGCCTCCCACAAGTTAATGGTAGAACTGCATCTCCTGACCAGAGATTTCACAGTCCAGGCTCTAGACCATATCAGTATCTCAGCTGCCATTTTCACTGTTTTTAAATTAGTTTGGCTTTGCGTGTTCACTTCTCACTCAGGATTTTCCAGGTTCTTGGGCTGGGGAATACTTTTGAATAAACATCGAAACAGGAAGTAAAAGAGGTGCATCAATATCAGTCCACCCCAGCTGTCATGGAATACGCAGCCTCTGGACTGCCTCATATCAATGAACAGTGAAGTCTTCAGGATACTTGAGCAGCATGGACAGGTTATTAAGAAACTCCTGTCTAGGTTTCCTTACCTGGACACAGAGTTTCTACTATGTGACGCATAAGAAAAGTAGAGGTAAAGTTGGAGAAAATAGAGAATCCTTTAGTCTATGTAAGTGTTTGAAGATGGCTCTTGTTTCTTGACTAATGAAAGTGGATTTACTAGTGATTTACCTTGTCCCTCATCATGTGAAAGGAGAAGCAGTTAAGGAGTGGGAAAAGTTTCCCACATACAGTTGTATCAGCCTGAAATCTTTCCTGGGGAATCTCAGGGTTTTTAAATATTTCTGAAGTAGAAAGCATATTATTGCATTTACTTAGAAAGATTGTTTTTCTTTTCTGCAAAAAACCGTAACTGTTAGGTTTCATTAGTAGCAGTTCATTAATGACTTATTAATCCAGTGAAGAGAAGGCATTGCTATCAAGTATTTTGTTGTTGCATTTGAAGGTGCAGTTCTTTTGTCTGTCACAAATGGAAAGAAGAAGAATGGAAATAAATGCTAATAAATAAATGCTGAGCATTGTGAAAGAGGCATTTCTTCTGGATGTCAGTGCCATTAATATGAATGGGAACTCAAGTTGTGTGCATGGCAGCCATATAAAGCTGAAGAGAAAACCTTTAAGATTCTCAATATAGTATCTAGTTTGTTATTATTTTTCTCCAAAGGGGAAAAAAAGACGTGCTAACACATGGTCTTAAAAAGAACCTTGACTTTCCAGGTCTTCTGATCTTTCTTTCCCATATAATAGATAAAAGGAACTTACAAAATTTGGAGGAAGCGATCAGTTGTTTTTAAAATACTCACAAGAATAACAAAATTAATTACAATCAGGTCTTGGATACAATTCCTGCCTGATGTACTATTGATTGCAACCATCTCTGAGAAGAAGAATTTAATGGAAACTAATTATTGTGCTACCAAAGAAGAATGCATGTGTTTTTTAATGTCTGATTTCTTTTTCTTTTGTTCTCATTTGAATTACTAACGCGTGAGAAAGAGTTTATACTGTAAAGAGCAGTGATAGGTCACCTTCCATCATAATTGCATCATGACTGATGTATGGTCTTTCTTATTCAAAGAACTAATAATATCAAGTTCCAAAGATGTTACTCGTGCAGTTATATTGCAATGCATGGGAAAAATGATGCAATTTAGTTACATGAGTTATAAAAAATGCAGTAAATTTGATGCCAGGGGAGGCTTCTGAAACTTGTTTTCTATGTAAACCTGATTATGTCAATTGAAATAATAGGAATTGGTTAATATGCTTCATTTGCACAACATGGCCTGTATTCCCTGCTGATCTTAGTGGACAAAGCTCAGTGAAGCTTCACACAACGCTACTCCATTTTTCTCTCATAATACATTTCCTCTAATCCTCAGTGATTATAAATAATGTCACATGCTGATATTGTACACTAGGCACAGTGTATATTGAAGTCATTCTATATTGCAATGCAGCTATAAGTGGGGAAAAGCACAGCAAACCAAAAACTTTACTGTGATTATATGCAACAGTTTGAAGTCAGAAAGTAAAAAGTACCATGTTCAAGTCTAATTGCTTTGGGAGTGTATGTGGTGCTTGGATACTACAGTGAGTTGGGGAGGTGCAGAGCATAATGCTTAAATAGAAAAAATCAAGTGAAATCAAGTTAAGTAAAGACTTACAAATTAAAGTTAGCGGAGAACTTTGGTAAACAAGTTGCCTTTGACATCACAGAAAGGATCCCCAAGCATGGTTCACTTTCTTCAGCTTCCAGGAACTTGGATCCCAGTGCACTTTAGAATAAAAAAAACCCACTTACTGTGAGTGTCAGGGTTTTCTTAATGACTGCACTTGGTCAGAGTTTTGCTCCTAATAGTTTATCTAAAACCTACAGTGGCCAAACCTCTTGGTAAGACCTTGTTTCAGTACTGCTTGAAAGGGAAGAGCTACATCTAGTGGATCACTAATGCCAACCCTGTGGTGTTCTGAGTTTTTTAAATTGGAATTCTCCTTTTCCCTTTAATAGAGGGACAGAACATCCTAGTGATAGCTTAATTAAATGTCTTCTTTGAAGCCTCTTAATTTGCTTGACCATACAAATTAGCTCATGTCACCAATGGTAAACACCAGGGATGCTGAAATCCTTTAGCTGTAAAATGATCCCTAGGGATAGGTAGACTCTTCTCTTATTCCTCAGTGTGATCTTCTTTTATGACTCGATCACTTATTCCACTTAGCAAAGTCGCATTACTTGCTTACTGTTTCAAATGAGTATTAGCTGCCAAACCATTCATTTGGCTGGCATTGGTAGTACATAGGTGCATGGTGCATAGTATTATTATGAGCACAGATTCAGGTTTTGACTGTAGGATTTGATTATTTTGTCAAGCTGTTGCTCCTTTTTCTTGCTTCTTACTGCTTGATTACAAGCATAATGTACCTGAGCCCCTTTGAATTGGGGTCTGTTAATAAGGAAGAAAGAAGGAAAGAATTAAAATTTGGCATGAAAATGACTTTTATTTATAAAATCAGCCTAGCAAGGGATGTGATAGTACGAAAATTTAAAATACAGTGGGCGCATTTACACAAGATGATTTACTGTGCAGTAGAGCTAATAACTGCCCAGTATGCATCCATGTCTACATATGCAGATGCTTACTGCACAGTAATTAGCTCTAATTGCAAGTTAATGCAAATGCAAGTAGCAAATTTACTTGAGATTACTTACTATGCTCCTGCCCCCAGGCGCTGCCTGCTGCTGGGGCAGGCTCTACCACCAGAGCCCAGGCAGGGACAGCGTCCCCCTACCCTGGCAGCAGGAAGCTCTCAGCCCCCACTCTGTGATTGTGGGCCGAGGCTGGGAGATCCTTACCTCCCAGCTCGAGCCCGACAGGGGCCCAGGGCTAGGAGACCCTTCTCTCCCAGCACCAGCTCTGTGGTCATGGGGCCAGTGCTGGAAGATCCTTATCTCCCAGCCTCAGCCCTGCAGTCATGGGGCCTGGACTGAGAGATCCTTCTCTCCCAGTGCTGGCCCCATGACCGCAGAGCTGGCACTGGGAGAGAAGGGTCTCCCAGCCTGGGCCCTATGATTGTGGAGCAGGGGCTGGGAACTCCATGCTGCTGGATCAAGGGGACATTGTCCCCACCAGGGCCTGTCCCAACAGCAGGCAGCTCCCAGGGGCTCCTGCCAGATGACAGCTGCCTCCTAGCCCCTGAGCTAGCACCAGGGGAGCTTAGGGTCCCCCCGCCTTGCTGCTGCAGGGGCCCATTACTGGGCCTCTGGGAGTCGAAGCAGTCTGCTGCTAGGAGCAGCAAATCTGCTTCCATGTCCCTACACGTGTAGATGCATGCCCGGGAGAGTTTAATCTCAAGTAGTTTACTTGAGAGTAAACTGGACCTGGATTATTTGCACATGTAGATGTGCCCAGTGTGATTTAATACTCTCCCCCACTCCACTGTTTTCATGGAATTAAGGCGATCTAGCATCAATAAAAAGGGACAGGAATATCCTAGAATGGGACTGAACATGCTTGAAACATTTTTGAGTCAGACTTCAGTGTCTGATGTTTTTGAAATATGACAAACAACACAAAAAGGGCTGACTTTCAGTATTCCCAGAACAGCATTTCCTCCCTCTACCAAGAGAAGTTCCACTCTTTTTATCTGAGACTGGCACTGCCATGTTCTAGCTCCTGGTTTCTCAGGAGTCTTACCTTTCATGTTTTGTTTCTTGCATGATGTCTGCTTTGTGATGAGTAGATCACTTCACTTCAACCAGGAAAACTCGACTGCCCCTTTCAAACCCAACCACAAGCACCACTATGTTCTGGGAAACAAAACTGCAGCATGGTAATGAGGGTATTGGATTAGCTTTCTCTGCTCTGCACCTGGTCACAAAACCACCAAATAATGAATGAGGATGAATTAAACATTGTGAAACAAGAGACTAAGGTTTCTTTATCCTAGGAACTGAGGGGCAAGGCTTCATGCAAATACTTAGCCTGAATAGCTGAGCTAGCCCTGGTCACAGGCAAACAGTAGAGAAAGCCTGATCCTAAAGTGAAGTTGTTTACTCCTAACATTTCCAGTACTACTTAGAGACTCCGATCAAGTGCTCCAGAAAATATATAAAAATAGGCTGTTCTGAAGAATTTGCAATTTAAATATATGATAAGAGGTCATGGGTTCATCCAAT